CCCCGCGCCCCACCGGGGGGCCCGTCACCTGCTGGGTGGGTGGGTGGCAGGAGTGGGTGGGTCACCTCCCACCCCCCCCATACTGCCCTGTCCTGTTGTGTGTGTCCCCCTCCCCAGGATGTTCGACGTGGGAGGGCAGAGGTCGGAGCGCAAGAAGTGGATCCACTGCTTCGAGGGGGTGACCTGCATCATCTTCTGCGGGGCGCTGAGCGCCTACGACATGGTGCTGGTGGAGGATGATGAAGTGGTGGGTCAGGGGGCTGGGGGGGCCTGGGGGCAGCTCAGCACCCTGGGGGGAGAGGAGCCGGGTGCCCTGGGGGTGACAGAGGGAGGGGGTGCTGGTTAATGCTCTGGGTGCTGCAGGGGAAGGGGTGGGAGATGTGGGATGGAGCCGGAGCCCACCCAGTTGTACCCACTGAACTTGGCAGAACGTACTGGGGGCAGAGGGAACCCACCAGGCAGGTGGTGGGGCTGTGGGGCTGCCATCCCCACCACCCGTGAGGTGACCCCACAGGCAAAGCAGCTCCCAACACTGACCTCCTGAGATCCACTGTCCCACTGGGAAACACTCCCAGGGGCTGGAAAACTCCCCAGGGAAACCCGAAGGAGCCACGTTGGGATGTGGGACATGGATGAGTCTTGAGGAAGAGACATGGATGGATCTCAAGGAAGGGACATGGATGAATCTGAAGGAAGGGACATGGATGAGTCTCAAGGAAGGACACAGGTGGGTCTCAAGGAACATCTCACCTTCTGGTGAGATCATCAAGCAGCCATGGGAGGAGGGACAGCCCAAGGTCATGGAGCAAAGGCCTCCGGTGCCCAGGGAGGGATTCTCCAGCAGAGCTGCTGCTCCAGCAACAGGGAAAAGCAGCTTCAAGGGTGGGATTGTGAAGAGGAGGAACAGAACAACCCCTAAACTGGTCATTCCTTGGAAGAAAGAAGGGGTGAAGATGAGCAGAGCAGAAGCAGAAGCAGCTGCCCTGGTCTCACCAGGGGCCGTGTCCTCCTACAGCAGCTGATCCCATGGGTGATCCCTGGTGCTCTGGGATCCAAACACCTTCACCAGGAGCTGGGATCTGCCACCCCTGGGACTTGCTTAGGCTGGGCAGGAGCAGGGAGGAGCAACCAGCCCCTCCTTGGCCATGGGGCAGCAGCTTTTGGAAGGCACGTGGAGAAGGAAAGAGCATCTTTCCCATCGAAGCCCTCAGGAGAGGCTGGAACGGTTCCTCCTGCCCAGGATGGGACAGGATTTGGCCACAATACAATGGGAACCTGGGCAGGAACATTCCCAACATCCCTGAAGAGCCTGCCATGCAAAGGTGGAGAACATCCACCTTCAGCAGCAGCAAACAGCTCCTGGATGGAGCCTCCTCCTCCCAAGGATGTCCCTGAAGTGAACCAGAACCCTCATGGCTGCTGGAAAACTGGAGCTTTTCCTTCTCCTTCCTGAGGCTCCAGGTCACAGCAGGGGTTGTGGTCCAGCAAGAGCACAGAACCATGGAATTGTTTTGCTTGGAAAAGACCAAGATCATCTAGTCCAACAATTAACCCAGCACTGCCAAGGCCACCACTGACCCGTGTCCCTCAGCACCCTGCATCACCCAACAGCACAGCCTGGATGGAGCTCCATGTCCTCCCTGAGCACCTCCCAGCAGTGGTGCCACCAGGCTGCAGGGGAATTTTCCCACCTTCATTCCTGACCACCCCAGAAGCTGCCAGGAGGGATCAGAGCATCACAGAATCAGAGAATTGTTCAGCTTGGAAAAGACCTTGAAGATCCTCCAGTCCAACCCTCCCCCCAGCCCTGCCAAGGCCACCCCTGCCCCGTGTCCCTCAGCACCATCTCCAGGGCTTGGAAACCCCTCCAGGGATGGGGACTCCCCCTCTACCCTGGGCCAGGGCCTGACAACCCTTGCCAGGAAGAAATTATTCCCAAGATCCAACCTCAACCTCCCCTGGAGCAACTTGAGACCATCCCAATTGCCCAGAGCTCCTGAGCATTCCTCCCCATCTCCACCACCAGGATTTCTTGGGATCCTCCACCCTGTGTTTTTTTTGGGTGGGCAAGAGGAGGATGGGGAAGGGGAGGGCTTGGGGGGTGGGGGTTGGGGTTGCAATGGCCAAAAAGGGGGGTGTCAGTGGCCCTGGGTGCCAACCAGCCCCTCTGCTTGCAGAACCGGATGCACGAGTCCCTGCACCTCTTCAACAGTATATGCAACCACAAGTTCTTCGCCGCCACCTCCATCATCCTCTTCCTCAACAAGAAGGACCTTTTCGAGGAGAAGATCAAGAAGGTCCATCTCAGCATTTGCTTCCCAGACTACGATGGTGAGTTGGTTCCTTTCACTGACTCCCCCCTCGCTCAGATCCTCCCAAGCTCAAGGTGCTCCAGGGAGGAACTTTTGGTCCCAACGCGGCGTCCTGGGCTGGGGGTTTTGTTGGGATCGAGTCCTTGGAGGCAGGAGGAGAGGAGGGGACAGATGGGGCCTTGGGAAGGTGGTTGGAAGGATTGCAATTTAAAACTGGGAGAGGGAGATTGAGGTTGGAGATGAGGAGGGAATTCTTTGGTGTGAGGGTGGTGAGAGCCTGGCCCAGGTTGCCCAGGGAAGCTGTGGCTGCCCCATCCCTGGCAGTGTTGAAGGGCAGGTTGGATGGGGCTTGGAGCAGCCTGGGCTGGTGGGAGGTGTCCCTGCCCATGGCAGTTGGATCTAGATGATCTTGAAGGTCCCTTCCAACCCAAAAGGAGCAGTTCCATCCAGCCCTTCCCCTCATCCTCCTCTCCCAGGGCAGATCTCAGCCCTGAGCTCATAAACCCAAACTTGAAACCACCCCCTGGTTCCTCTCCCAGCTCCGCTGGTCATTTCCCACGGGAACAGCCCCACAGCAGCAACGTTTCCTCCCTCCCCAGGTCCCAACACGTTTGAAGATGCAGGAAACTACATCAAGACCCAGTTCCTGGATCTCAACATGAGGAAGGACGTGAAGGAGATCTACAGCCACATGACCTGTGCCACAGACACCCAGAACGTCAAGTTCGTCTTCGACGCCGTCACGGACGTCATCATCAAAGAGAACCTCAAGGACTGTGGCCTCTTCTGAGCAGCCTGGGGGCAGGTACCTGAGAAACAGTCGTTGAACCACAACAAGAGCTGAGGCAGGGGGGGGTGGGTTATGGGTTACACCTGGATTTGTCATCTCATGGGTTGGAAATCCTCACTGGTGGAGCAGAGAGGGGAGGCTCATTGAATCATGGGGTGGTTTGGGTTGGAAAGGAACTTAAAGATCACCCAGTCCCAACCCCCTGCATGGGCAGGGACACCTCCCACCAGCCCAGGCTGCTCCAAGCCCCATCCAACCTGCCCTTCAACACTGCCAGGGATGGGGCAGCCACAGCTTCCCTGGGCAACCTGGGCCAGGAGGTGCTGGGATGAGCAAGGACCAGGAGGGTTTGGGGTCCCCCCAGCCCTGGTGGGGTTGGGTTCCCTTCCCCAGCAGCCTCCCAAAGTGGGGAGGGGGCTCAGCCCAGTTCCCATCCTGAACTGGTTTTGCCAGCCTCCTTCACACCCCTGCCCAGGCAGAGAGATGAAAACAAGAGAATTATGACCCAAATTCTGAAGCAGAGCAAGATTTTCTCTCAGGGGCTCCTGTTGCCACACTCACTGGTGCTGCTCCAGTTTGCAACCCAGTTGGGAGGTTATTCCCAGCAGGCAAAGCTGGGAATAACCCGAGCAACACCCACAGGAATTCTGTGCCACCTTCTGCTTCACCTGCCCTTTCACCTCATCACCAGAATGATTTAATTAGCTTGATTAACCTTAATTCTTCTTCCCGTGTTGAGCCCTCAGGGCTGAGGAGCAGTGGGAATTCCAGCCCTGTTTTCTCAGCCACTGCTTCATTTTGCAGGGAACCTCCAGCATTTCCCTTCACCCTGAACATCAATAAAGCAAGAAGAGAATAACACTGATCATAACTCAAACAGGCAGGGTCCCCAGAGGCAGGATTTGGGGGGGGATGCAGCCCTTGGCTCCCAGCTTGGCTTTGTGATGGGAACAAAGCTCCTGTCTGAGCCCTCGACCCAGAACCTGCTTTTTAACATCAAGGAAAAGAGAGATATTTTTCATTTAAAAGGCTCTTCCTTCCCCTGGGATTGTAAAAAACACCTCCCAGGCTTGAGGGTTTGGGGAAGACTCAGTGTTAGAATCTTCATTCATAGGATCATGGGTTGGGTTGGAAGGGACCTTGATGATCATTTAGATCCAACTATCATGAGCAGGGACACCTCCCACCAGCCCAGGCTGCTCCAAGCCCCATCCAACCTGCCCTTCAACACTGCCAGGGATGGGGCAAAATTATTGTTCCCATCCAGGGAGGGGATCAAATGATTGGGGCACAATTATTGTCCCTGCCTGGTTGAGAAAATGAAAATGTTCCCGTCACTGAGCGGGGCTGAAAGTTGCTTCTCTGAACCTTGATGTTGTTTGAAAACCTTTAACCTCTTCCTTTTTCTTCTTCCTTCCTCCCTGCCAGGAGAGGAGAAATCCTCCATTTCATTGCTGTTCTGCTGAGCAGAGCCAAGAAGGATTGAATCCACCAAAAAAGGATTGAACCCCAAAAAAGGATCAAACCCAAAATAGGATCAAACCCCAAAAAAGCATCAAACCCAAAATAAGGATCAAACGCAAAATCAGGATCAAGCCCAAAATAAGGAACAAACTCCAAAAAAGGATCAAACCCCAAAAGAAAAACTTCCACTCAGGTCCCACTTGTTATTTTCTTTGTTTTTCTACAACCTGCCCAACCAAACCATCTCCTTTCAAGCCCAACATAGGAAAGGGCTGAAGCTGAATTTCCTCCTTCCTTTCCAGGCCATTTCCTCTTTTTCTTTGCTTTTTCTTTTTTAAAATGTATTTATTTATTTATTTGAAAGGAAACCCAATGAGATGTGGTTTGACAGCAAAGAGCATCTCAGCCAGATAAATGTTGTGTCCAGCGCTTGAACCCTGGGAAGTAGTGGAATTGTTGCTGTGGAGACAGGGACAGGCACCTTCCCCCTCTGCCCCATCCCTCCTTCCCCTTTTCTTGAGGTTAATTAATTAAAGCAGGAGGTTAATTAATTAAAGGTGGAGGTTGGGTTCCCTGCCAGCCCCTCCTGGGAACCAAGCTCAGCCCTTTGAGCAGGAGGAGGAGGAATTCGGGGAGTTTTTGTGCTCTTAAAACTGGAGTGAAGATCTCCCCAGAGCTGCTGGTGGAAGGGAAGGCAGGAGAAGGGGCAGGAGAAGGAACAGGAGGAGCAGGAGAAGGGGCAGGAGCAGGAGAAGGAGCAGGCAGGGCATGAGGGAAAAGGGCTGGAGAAAGAGGAAATGGTGACTTGAAAGCTTTTCATTCTGCTGTTTGAGAGCTGGATTTGCTCTTTGCTGCTTGTAAATAAAGCCCCCCTGGTTCTGTAGCCACAGCCTGGATCCTCCCATCCCCCTGCCGAGACCCACCCC